CAATATTTAATCGTTTTAACTTTAAGTTCATTGATAATAATATCAAAAGTAATGATAAAATCATTAAATTAATTAAAAATTAAATGAAATTATGTTATGGATCGTTATCAGGAAAAGTATGATGTACAGGGGCAAGACAGCACTAAAAGCGAGATCAGATATGGAAAGCTTAGGGTCAGGGGATCTGATATACGAACTTCTGGTCTAGGCAGGAAGACACGTGATTTTTTTAAAAGTAAAAAATAATTTAAAATGGCAGCCCGGTATTGTGATGATATATAATAAATAATTTCGATTTTTTTTTTTTTTTTTTGTATCTATTACTCCTCGCATTTCCAGCCAGAGGGATTCAATAATATTAAAAATTACATAAAATTTTATATTATTTTTAAATAATTAATAATAATTATGTCTATATACAGAACCGTCAAACTTAATTTTCCAGCTTCAGTTCAGAATCCTGTCTATTCAGAGTTTTAAAATAGACATTTTTCTTAATTATTATTAAAGTTAATAAATGTTTGAAGAAGTTAGATGCGAGGGTGGTTTGAAGAGGGAAGAAACAAAAAACACCGTAGCTTTTTAAATATACAACTCTGTCATAAATTATAAATGAAACGGAAAGCATTAAAAATGCACTCTTTTAAATCAAAAATAAGATTAAAATATTTTTAAAGTAATAAATAAAAATTAATTTTTTCGCATTATTTTATATATGTCATTCACATTAAGAAATAATTTGAAAATAAACGACACCAATCAAGATTTAAGAATTCTCTCCGGCATCATAATAAGCAATTAGTGTCAAATTAAGGAAAAATTATGATCGTATTCATAATAAATTTATTATAATTGATTAAGCTAAGTCGCTGCAATTTTTATAAGAATTCTATTTTATCAAAAATATTTTTACCATATTTAGAACCGCTATAAGATTGTAAGCTTAAGAAACAAAAACAGCGTGTAATGACCCTTAATCTCGCGTGATTTTCAATTATTTAATATTGTATTTGTTTACGATTATAAAGTAATTTAATTTTAGCCCACAGTGGGGTATCTACTATACGTGTTGAAGGAAACATGGTCTTAGTACCAACCACCTGAGATCTCACTCTCTCAACAAGTGTTTCCATATTCCCTTATTTGTTAATTTGCTAATTTTATATTCACAACTACTGTACTTCAATGTCTCCAATCATCAGTTATTTTTGTCACTTTCTACGATATTTAATTTATTTATCTGCGAAGTAATGCTCTATATATCGTGGGATTACTACCCCAAAACAAGGATTAATAGGACCCGTAAAAGCAGTAAAAACGAATAACAAAATTAGGATAAAATACTTATAAAATTCTTTGCAAAAATAATAAAATATAAGTTTATATAAATTATTAAATCCTAGTTTAATTATGTACTGTAATTATCAATCTTTTAAGTTTTAATACTGTTGGAAATTCTGTAATGTTAATTACATTTATTTTGGAAAATAAATATAAGGAATATCGTATAGAGATCGTCATCTTATAAATAGAATAAAATAATTAATTTTATGTTTTTATATAGAACGAGTAATTATTTATTGTGATATCGTTACAATGCCAGGCAGCAACTTTTAATCATATTTTTAATTTATTTAATGTAAAGTATATGCTCTCCACCTCAAATTAGTAGTGGCTTGTCCTTGTACAGTACATCATACTTTTCTTTTAACAACAGAGTCGTGTCGGTTATTTATCTAACACCTTTCAGGGGAAAACTTTTGAATTACAATAACGTGATTTCCAAATCGGAAGTTCGTATATAGTTAATGGGAACCTTCTGCTCCTAATATTTCCAAGTCTTGTTTTGTGTTTCAACTATCTAACTCCGTTCTCGAGTTTAAGGAACGACAGACGGATGAACAGACAGACAGTGGAAATTTATAAGTCTACAATTTTTTCAAATTGCAGCCCAATCATTCTTTCTTTCTCTTTCGTTTTTAGTAATATTATTTTACATGTCTCTTGATTTCTTGTAAAGGATAAAAATAATTTCTTGTAAACAATATGAGAAATGAACTAATAATTTCTATGAAAACTAACTATAAGACATATCCGTAGCGATAATAAAGATTATTTCGAGTTTATTTAATTCATTAAATTGAAAATTGAGAGCGGTTTGAAAAACTAAAAAGTATTGTACAAGTCAATTCTGTTAAACTCTTTTCACGCTGAAGCACTAGTATTTAACGTGTATGGTCTCTGATCCTAGAGTTCTGCCAGCAATCTTCAAAAGTTCCACAGAGAACCCTATAAATAAGACATTATTTTAATTATTTTCATTAAAAATATCGAAAAATAAAAATATCTAAACTATACCCTCTCTACTCTAAAAAGCATTCCTACCTAGAAAATGAAAATAACGTTGATTCCTCCAGATCCAATTGGTGTAGTACGAAGGCGTGATAAATCTGGCAGACCTTTATGAAAAATTGCTAGGATTACCACACAGATTTGATCCAAGATCCGCTAGAGCGGTTTTTAAAATTTAATGAATATTCTTCAAAGGATTCTAAAGTCTTAAATTTCCATTTATCTTTTAATATGAATATTTAAATAAATAAATAAAACTTCTGTAGTATATTTATTATCAAAGGAATTACCACGCTTAGATATTATCATCATTAATCAACAGAAGTTAATTCAATAGCGGTTTTATTTAAATTTTAAAAAATAAATCGATGTTATACAGGTCTCAACGTTCATCTACATAACTGCAATTTGAAAATTACAGTCCAATAATAACACCTTTTAAAACATGTTATGGTTTGTCACATACGTTTCCAAATATTGTGTTTTATATTTATTTATCTTTTTTCTAGTGTAGGCAATTTAATTTAATTTTTTTCCGCGTGATGTAAAGAATCTGATATGTGATATTATATTTTACTTTCCCAGCTGTTATATATAACAGAGGGAAAACATAGCGATCAGTCAAAAAATGATCTCCCCCAAGGTTTTTGGGGTTCAGAAGTTCTTGAAACATCGAGAAATACAAAAAAAATTACGGGGTTTTCTATATGTACGGATGTTGATGTATATGGGAGAGCACGCTTTTGTTCACCCAATTTCAAGCTTAATAATTCCTGTGCTTTTTGTCGAAAATTTCTAAAATTTTGCAGGGAAGTTTGTGTGTTAGCAGATTAATACTATTAAATTTTGGTCGTTAAAGGTGGAGGGGATGGAGAAATACATGTGAGGTCGTATCTCGTATGGAGACACACCTAATGATTTTACTAGTTATTACCATTTACAAATTTTATGGAACTTATCTCTACCCTCAAAATTAAGCTTTTTGCCATTTTATAATAATTAATAATATAGAATGGTTCCTTAATAAAATCTCATATTAGATTTGCATTCCAGCTATCTTACTAACATTATAATAAATAATTTTTACACAAGTAAAAGCATTGAAGATGAGGAAAATTTATAAGTACGTGATTTTTTTAATAATTAATAGATATTGTGGTTTAATCTAAACTCTTTTACAAATACATATATAAATCTTCAGTCAATATCATTAATTTTGAATTTCAAAACCGAAAATTTAATGTGGAGATAATTATCCTTTTTTCTCTTATAATGATTCCTATAATTTAAGTAAAAATGAAATTTAAGGAATGCACATTAAAGAGATTCTTTATATATTCAGGAATTCCTTATTTTTTAATGTAATGTTGTTAAAATTTTAGATTATGAAGGAATTTATGATCTAAGTAGCCCTATCATAATTTCAGAAAAATTATTCAAAAAATAATTCGAGAATAAACTATTAATATTCATTTTTAAACGTTATTTTACAAAATAGTTTTTCTTCAAAAAATGTAAATAGAAAAAATAAATTTTATTACATTACAATTGAAGTTCAGATGTGAAAGAGAAGTTTTGAAAATATTATTTAAATTTATGTAATGTTATAAAATAAATATAGAGATAAGCAAAAAAAATTGAGTCTAAAATTGTTTAACAAATTTTAAATTCAATAAGAATGTTTATTTTAAATCTGCAAGAAAGCAAGGAATAAACAAATGTATGTAAAATGTCCCATGAAAGACCTGAAATCCATAACATTCCTATAATCCATAGGAAGAGAGTCTGAGTAGTCTACGAGAGAAAGACAGAAGGCATAAAAGACATGTGAATACTAAACATGGCGGAGCGGAAGGAAGATCTAGAGAAGAAATAACTGGAAGAAGATTATAGCTGTGGCCAAAATGCACAGAGGAAGCTACCACAATGGATATGATTTATAACTAATGAGCAGTCATTTATTTTAATACCCTTAATACAAAATTTCGGGCTTCAATTTTTCGTCATAATGCTTTCAATTTTAGTAGTGTCTTACCCTTCTACAATACATCATTACTTTTCCTGCTAAAAATAGTCATGTCGATCATCTGTCCACGTTCAGGAGAAAATTTTGAATTGAAATAACATGATTTCCGGATTTGGAAGTTTATATATAGTTAATCGAGCCTCTTGCCCCTAAGCTTTCTATGTCTGATCTCCACGTCCATCTATCTAATTCTGTTCTCGAGATTATGGAAGGACAGACAGACAGACTGATGTCAGTGGAAATTTATAAGTCTACAGTTTTTGAAAATTGCAGCACAATAATCTTTCATTGCTCAAACTATTATATTTTGGCGATTTAATAAAATGATAATCCTTATAATCTCACTAAATTAAAATGTAGTAGTTTTATAATAATAATTAACTATTTAAATTAAATTATTATTGATTTAAACTAAATTTAATTATGTGTACTTAATCTTAACTATTAAAATAATTTCAACGGATATTTCGCAGCTTTATCTATTTATAACTTTAATATAAGACGTAATTGTAATTAAATATATTTTAATTTTTGAAGAATTTAATTTAAATAAGATTTAATTTAAAGTCAAAAATTTATTCCTGAACTAATTAATATTATGGTATATTCGAATTACACACAGGCCTGATGAAAATCTTCGTTCTTTTTCAACCTTACGAAGGAATGCGTTTAGAAAAGTGTAAGGATAAAAATTATTTATTTCCTATATTTTATTAATAAAATTAAAATTATTTAATATAAATTTTTATTTATGTTTATTGTAAATTGATTAAACAGTAAATTTATTTACGTTATATAATTTACATCGAAATGACTGCTTCTAATTTAATATTTGAACATTTGGGCCATCAAATTTTATAAATATGTACTGGAAATATTTTCATAAGGACGTTTTTGGAAATTTTATTAAAAAACGACACTGTATGTGAAATTTTTATTGAATATTCACATCATATTTACATAAAATAAAAGTACAATTAGAATAGTTGACAATAAAATTTAAGTGGAAAAAATTCAAGCATTTTGTATATAACATCACCCAATTTAGGAGCTTAAGTGTTCTTAATTTGGAGAGTTTGTCTAAGTCTATTAAAAATGTTATAAAACAAAATACAAAGAAGTATAAAACAAATTTTAAATCTAAGACTAAGTGATGTTTCCTGATATTTTAAATCTCAGGAAACACCTCTTAGCCTAAATTTGTATTCTAAAACTTGAAACAATTGTAAAATTTAAATAAGATCTAAAATGTAAATAGCCAATATCCTAACGATAAAGAAATAAGCATTTTAAAATTTCAGTATTCACATAGGAAATTTTCATCATAAATGCAATATTTAGAAGCAGAGATCATGCGCCTAAATATTGCATTTATGACAAGACAACTATAGTTTACCGTTAGCCACCTTATCATCCTCAGAATATCATCCATTGCAGTAGAAACATTCCGTCCTCAATAGAACAATTATTACTCATTCTCGGGAATTTATCATTCGATCTGTCATCAAATGAGACTGCAAAGTTAGCATCACATGGTTCTGATGGACACTAATTCCTCTTTATTTTCAAAAGTTTTGAAATTTTTTCGTGTCGCCTGATTTTTTAGCAGTTTTCTTTGCTTTATAGTCTGTTTTTTCCTATTGTTATTTTCTTCTGCCTACTTTTTTGTCATCACCTTTTTCTTTTGAGCAACTTCTTTCTTCTTACTGTTAGCTTCGTCTTCTTTTTGAGTGATTGTTCGAGATATGTCTTTTACGGAGACACGCTGATTTTTAATGCATTTTGAGCATTTTATCCTATTTACATATTGATCTATGGAACTGGACTCAATTCTGATGCCAAGACGGTGGTAATGACACAGTAATGAGTGGAAGATTAGAACTAGACGTAGATGGCCCTGTTCTTAGATTCTTGTCCAGAGGATAAGTCACAAAGAGGAAAATCTGCTGATTGAAAAACTAGTTTCATTCTATGCATTCTCATCAGTCGCTGCTCTTAAGTAGGTTGTACTGTACCTAACACTTCTCCAATGTAATCATAATCCTTATATTAGGCGAATTACGTTAACAGTAACAGAAAAAACATTCACGTATGTACAAAATAATATAATGTAATATTTAAGTTTAGATTAAACCTCCTTGTAGCAAACAACATGAATGGCTCCTGGGAAATCAAATTTTTTTAATATATATTTCTACTGATTAAGAGAAGGTTATATCTAACATAAATAGTTTATACTGTGTAGAATAAGGCTGTCTAATTACATTTATAAAAATCTCTTACAAAACTTGACATGTATACAAGCAGAATAAAATTTTAAAAATACACAATACATAAGCAACCGTGTGGTTTACTTTCAATGACAAACTGAAGTTTTGATGAATGATGGAAGACTCCAAAATGGCTTACTCTACGTATTGCACTACCATCCACTGGAGTGCATCACCTATCGAATGAAATACAGCACCTTTCCAAATTAAGAAACCTCACCACGATAGATACAGTACATTTATCCTATTTTATATTATCTAACATGGTTATAAATATACCACAATTACGGTTAACAGTAACAGTAAAAACATTCACATATGTACAAATAGTAAAAATAAATAAATAAATAATAATAGTAAAAACATTCACATATGTACAAAATAATACAATGTAATATTTAAGTTTAGATTAAACATACTCCATCATAATTATCGAATATTTGCATTGTTACACTAAACTAATTGCATTAGGAATTAATTTATATTAAAATAAACAATATACATACTTTCAATTTAGAATCATACTGCATTTATATATATATCATGTTAGATTCCGTAGATTGTTTGTAGTGGTTTCCAATAAAAGTGAAGACCATAATTTGCCAATATACGTTGTATTTGTTATTGCTATATACAGTAGAGCGTCGTTTATCCGAAAGCTGGTTATCCGAAACGTCTGTTATCCGAAAGCATTCCAGTCGGCAAATTTAAATTTTCGCTAGTGCTGTGGCGCTGCAATCTTCGGCTATTTCTTGGGTTACTCAAATATTTTACGTTTTTGATACTAAATTAACATCTGAAGTATAATTTTTTATTGTTTTTATATTTTTCAATATATTTATTTTGTTTGTACAAAATAAAAAAATAATTTTTAACGATACAATAGTCTTCGTTAGGCTTAACATCGACGAAAATTCAACGCGAAGCGACACGCAACGGAGAAAAATTTCAACATGGGATAAATTAATATATTTTTTCGTACATAATTCGTTATCCGAAAAATAAGTTATCCGAACCACCCCAGTCCCCAATTGATTCGGATAAACGACGCTCTACTGTATATGTATACAGGATGATTAAAAAATCTTCATATAAAAGAGAGCACCTGAATGAACAAAATTATATTTAATAGAAAGATATGTTGCATATCTATTGCCTTTAATATATTTGAATCTGTTACTTATAAATCTAAGTGACTAATTCAAATGTATTAAAGAGAGATGATTTTTATGTATTGAGTACTTTCCTAATGCCTATATCCATAACATGTAATAATAAATTCTAATAATAACTAATTTAGATAATACTGAAATCAAGAAATAAGAGAGCTCCAGAAATTTACAGTAAATACCAAATGTACACTAGATATTTAAGGAATCAGAAAGTGTTTTAATTTTAGAAAGATTAACGTTTTCGGAACAGTTAATCTTTCTAAAGATTAGAACTACTAGAAAAAATTTTCTTCTGAACTCAACATCCTATGTCGAATATATTTCTTTCAAGTATAAGAAATGTAAATTTGAAAAGTACTTTCAAATTATTTATTACGTAATTTACTAGATTAATTAACATAGATTACTTAAAAACAAAAGAAAAAAGTAATATAAACTAAAAAAGAACGATAGGAATTTCATCTATATGAAACGTATTTTCGTCAGGGTTACTGCACTCCGCTCTTGTCAGTGCCATGTCCATGGATCAAGGTCATCTTTTTGGTATTGATCATTCTATCCTTTCTTTATGACTATTACTAACTCTTCTACTGTTCTTAATGGTACCATTTTCTAATCGGGTATGAATATCTGCGATATGGTAGTTTTATCCTAGTTCTTGCAAGTTGTACCAGGACCATTGCAGTAGAACTAGTATTTGAACTAGTATTGTACAGAACTAGTATTTTTTCAATGTTTTTGTAATCAATTGTTCGGTCTGTAGGTAGTACCTATTAGCATTTTCGTTCTCCTCCTTATTTGTTATTTAAGAGGATCTGGTATACTCCTATTAGATATGAAGAATAAAAACTACTTCTGTTTGAAGTAGCTTTTCTTCATACCTAATGCACTATATGCACTATTTGTTATGTTCTTCCTTAATAATTACGTTTCTAATGTCCTGTGAAAAGTTCTTTACTTTTCTGTTTGTTGTTAGTATGTGTCATACTATACATTGAGCACAAAAAATTTTTGTAAAACTCTTTGCCTACCTATGGAGATTTTTTAAATCATCCTGTATTATATGTTTAAAATGCCTCCACCCAAAAACAAACTAAGGTTTAATTAAAGTTTTCAGTTAATACCACATCATTTAATTTTAATGAAATTAATGCTGTAAAAATTCGAAAATTTCATGTCAATATTTCTTACATTTCGATAACGATTGATGTTGAACTTATTCCGACATCATCGCAAATCCGGGCTGCAGTTTTTAATCATATTTTAAATTTATTCAATTTAAAATATATACTGTCCGTCTAAAATTAGTAGTGTATTGCCCCTGTACATCATACATTTCCTGATAACAACAGAGTCATTCCGATCATCTATCTAACTCCGTTCTGGAGAAAATTTTTGAATTGAAATAACGTGACTTTTGGTCCAAACCGGAAGTTTAAATGTAGTTATTCGAGACCTCCTTTCCCTTAGCTTTCCATATCCGGTCTCATCTTTCATCTATCTGATTCCGTTCTTGAGATTAAGGAAGGACGGACAGACCACAGATGGATGCTAGTGGGAATTTATATGTATGAAATTTGAAAATTGCATTTCAGTTAAATTGTTATAATTTTTGTATCTGTTTCGATGAAACTATGAGAGATAAATTGAAAGTTTATCTTCAATTTTTAAACTAAAAATTTGCATAAATTACACGATAGAGAATAATTTTATATATAAACAAAATATAAAACACACAAGAACTTTTACTATATATTTTCAATACGAGCTTAAAATAAATATAAAATTATATTACTGTATTATGGTTAAATAATTAAAATCATTAAAATTATACACGTATTAAACTTATATTTATTTTTACATTTTAATTTTTATTAGAAAACGTCCTTGCTTCATAAATTTACCTGGATCAGATTGTGACAACATGGATATTGCTGGATTGGCTAAAGATCAAGGACATTGGGCTGGTGCCTTGAGTCCTGGAAAGAAGAGAAGGTTTGTATGTTTTTACCCCTCTTTCCTCTCCTCTTGACCACTGAAAAGTCTTTTTATTCATACCTGTCATGAGTTCCTCCTGCTACCATCCCTGCCATCCTCATTGCATAAAGAGCAGAAGTGGCGAAGAACGATAACCCAACATACTCAAATCAAATAAACTTGAACCTGTGTTTCTCCAGAACGACTAGCTCATACTTTATGCCGCCCTTCATGATCATAATTAATAATAAATAAATATAGCTAGATAGATAAAGAAAATAATAAATTTATTCATCCATATTTCGGTATTCATTTATTATTTTAATGATGATAATGACTTATTTTAATAAGGACAAAATTATATAGAGGATGGTATGACATAATTAATATATCTTGTGATTACATACAGAATGTTTATGGAAAAGTGTTGGAGATTGTTTTCTCGTCAAACACGTATAGCAAGCAGATCGACTGTTTTCTGAAATAACAATATAAATTCCTGCAAATATTATTGTGTAAAACCATCAATTATTACTTTTCATAATATACATGAGGCAAAATAATTGATGAATTTTCGAATATTATTTAACCAGTAACATGGTCTTGATTACTTATGATACTTGTTATCAGCTGAGTAACTGGAAGCACGGTAATTTTAATAGAAATTAAGGTATTTCTTTCAATTTTTACTCACTCGTCTCCTGTTACAGCAAGATAATAAATCCCGGCGTTATATACGTTTTAAAAATAAACCCCTCGAAATTTAATCCAGAAAATATGATATTTTGTTAGCTATAAAATTACCTATAATATTTACGAGAAAACAAACAGATTGCTTTCCACGGACATTTTGTAAATCGATTATTTGTTTAAATGTTCTAACAGGAAACGTCCTTGTTCTTTTAACTTACCTGGAACGAGTTGCGATAATTCTGAAATGATTGGCACAGGTAAAGATACTGGGCACTGGGCGAGTGAAATTAGTCCGGGAAGGAAAAGAAGGTAATATAATCAAAATAATAGCTTTACGTTATGAAATAATAAATTGCTCTTTAGAATAGTATAAAAGTTATTTGTATTTAACAATTAAAGTAAGGGGTAATGGTCCAGTTTGCTCTCGTCTCCACATTGTTGAGGTTGATAATAAATACACTAGGCTCTTACTTTACGAGTGGACCACATCTGTTAAAAGGTTAATTAATCCAAATTTAATTATATAATTCATTCTAACAAACAATGTTATTAAGAAATTAAAATTGAAATCGAATAATTTCATATATTGATAGATAGAAGAATTTCAAGTCTATATTTTATTTTTTTATAAAGTAAATATTTATATTGTCTTTCTATATACATGTTTATATATATTTCTACTGATTACTCATACTGTATTTATGCCAAATTCTATGACTAACCGAATTTTATATTAAATGTAGTTCTCATCAATTTAAAAGCAACACATTGATTTTTATGAAGTATCTACGCGTAAAAATTTATCTTAATAATAATAATAATAATAATATACATATTTACTAGAAAACACAATAAGTTATTCAAATTATTTATTTTTTTTTATATTGTTTAAATATTTTTCCAGTATTATACTATCAAAAATTTAGTTATATTCAGTTATCTCTCGACTTAAGAGACAACTTAATAATAAATTCAAATTAAAAGGTTAGAATCTAAACACAGTATTTCTGTTTTAGAGTACGATGGCCCAAAAGTCAGGAACATATTTTTTCATTTTTTCATGAATTTTGTTTAAGAAAAGGTTTATGGTTCATTCCAAGTTGAAATTCGAATGCAAAAAAAACGCGGTTAACTGACTTTTGCGCCACCTTGTACTTATTATTTCTATTTGTAGAGTAGACGAGAATTATGTTTCATTAAACTCATTTACAGTGAATCATTTGGAATATTTAAAAGTTATTAATTAATATTTCATTTTCTTTTCAGCATTAAGAAATTGAGAGATTTACTACATGATTAATACTTAACAAAGCTATATAGAGCCCAAGAACTTCTCTCCTCGTATTTCTGGCTCATCAAATTATCATTAACCATTTACAAATTACAAAATTCAAATTAATATATGATAATTAATTAAATGTTTTAAGTTATTTCTTTCAATAATTAATAATCAAAACAATTCAAATTAATAATTTTCATCTCTCTTTTTAAATGTATAAAATATTAAATAAAAAGAAAATGAAAGTAAAAATGTAATAAATGTATTTGAATAATTATATTTTGGATTAAACATTATCTCTTCTAATTAACTGTATGTTGATTGTTTGAATAAAATTATTTGATTGAATACAATGAACAATTTTTTAATATAAATAAATCAATTGTTAGAAGGGTTTTCCATATCTTTTTAATTAGAATTAATATAGCATGCAACAAATCAACTAATGCAATTATTCTTTAAATCCATTTAAGAGTGAGTAATGACATTATTTTATTGATTATTCCATAATGAAATAAAAAGTGAGTCAATGTATGATACAAAAAGGAAATATCATCTGAACTAAAATCTAATAATAAGAATGGAATTTTAATAATACTAAATTTTTACATGCATTTGAATGTAATTAAATTAGAAAATTAAATTTATTTAGGAAACAAATAATTCTACTTAAAAGTATAATTCAATATAGACTTTGAATAGTCTTAGTTCAACAGTGTATTGAACTTATTTGTAAAATTTCATTTTTAATTTTGCATATTAATCATCTAATATAATCTTATTACATCTTAAATTGTATTCTCATAAAGAGATCAGATCATTCAAAATGTATATTTATATATATACATTGATACAACAATTATATATTGTACAGCAATTATTATATAACAATTGTATATACATTATATACAAAAATTATATATATAATTTTTTTAAATTTTTTATTCTATAGTTCACCAGAGATTATAAAACATGAGTTTATACATTAATAAAACAGGTAATACATATTCTTTTAGTAAAAATTATTATTTAACTTTGCAAACTTTCATTTGTTTTGTATTAATCTACATATTTTTTTCAAATAAAATAAAAATACGTTACATAATAAAATAAATTAAATCTACATCTTATATAATAAATTTTTTCTCCCAATTAGAAATGAAATTAAATCCCCATAATTCACTATAACACTTAATAACTCTATTTTTACACAGAACTCAACTGTTTTTTCACTTTTTGTAAAAATAATTTCTATTTTCTTTTTAAAAATTTACATATTTCTTACCTTTATTCTAATTACATCACTATTTTTATTATACACTAATCTGTATATATTCTAATAATTACCTAACTACTAATTGAATTAATAAAAACTCTGTAGCTAATTAAATAAATTTAATATTTTTATAATTATTTCTTAAATATTTTTATTTATATTATTATAATCACTTTCATTACAAAGTAACCCTTTAAATTAAAAAAGCAACGGGTTGCTGAACTTTCCTGGCAACATTAAAATTTTGGTGGCACCACCTGTCATCATATTTTATTGAAAACACTTTTTATATTTTAGACTATCATAAAACAGCAAAAAGCTTACTTTTCGGGTAGGGATGAGTTTTATAAAAAATTGTAAATGATGATAACGAGTAAACTCTTCATTAAGTCCGACCCTACTGAAGGTACACACGACCCCTATTATCTTCCCATCCCCTCAACTTTTAACCACCAAAATTTAACAGTATCAATTTCCCTAATACACAAACCTCCCTGCAAAATTTCAGAAATTTTAGACAAAAAGCACATGAGTTATTAACCTTCAAACAAAGTGAACAAATTCTTGCATCACACACACAATTTATTTATATTATTTAATTATTAAAACTTTAGTAACGTGAATTCCACGTTAATTCTATATATAAATTTATTTTTAATTTACAAATAGTATATTTAATTTCAATGTTTTAGGTATATAATAATAATAATATAATAATAAAACTATTTTTTTAATCTTAATTAAAATTCGGTCAATTTATTCCAGTTTTATTTATTTATTTATTACTTTCTAAATATAATCTATAGGTTTTCGAAACTTTTCCGTCTTCCTACGATCAGTTTTTATTCGTTATATCACATTTCCAAGTGAAATGGATAAAAGAAATTTCGTGAACATGATACCAAACAATTAATGAAAAGATGCGGGTCATCAAATTTCATATTTCTTTTGTAATTTATCTTTATATTTTGTATAAAGACATATTTAAAAAATAAATTGAATTGTTTAATATTTATTTAATGAAATTACTAAAATAAATAATTATTTATTATAAATTAAATTATTTAATATGAAAAGATAGAAAAATATTTAAAAGTTTTTGATTACCTATTAATTAAATTAATTCTAATACAAGTATATGTTAATCTTAAACGGACAGACATAGGTGACAGTGTAAAGCTATAAGACTGCAATTTGAAAATTGCAGTCCAAAAGAAGAAATTTGATATTGAAAAAATAGAAAAAGCAGGTGTTTATTCACTCCCGTGCAATTGTGAAGATTAAAACATTTTGTGAGACTGGTGTAGCATTAAAACATATGGTTAGATACATAATGAAAATACCCCTTGGTCAGGTGATCAACATGTTAACAAGTGACAATTTTCCAGTGCTCAGCGGTTTTATCCGTTTGTCCATTGATGGACTTAAGGAACATAAGGCCAACCTGAAATATACTAGACATTTTGCATATTTCGAAGATCTTAATGATAGATACCAACCAATGCTGATAGAATTCGACAATGCTTGGTATCTAGCTTTATAGTATATCGGGTTTAGCGATGTTGTTTGACCTTAATGATTGCAACATTAATGATGATGGCATTAAAACTTTACATTATAAATGCGATATTTATAAAGAAAATTTAAAGAACACGTTTCTGTATCGTTTATTCCATAATTATATTCAAAAATACAAGTTAAACGGAGTAAAAATGTTAATATCCAATTACAAAAAGGAATCAAACCATCTCTTCGCACGTAGGAATCAAACACGTGACACATCTGACGTTACATCGAAGAATCCAACTTAATATCCCGCTTTCTACGTTTCACGATTTAGTCACTAGTCAGGATCTAATACATATGTATAAAAATTAATCAGGCTTAGGATATATTATAATTCCATTTTTATGAAGATGCAATTCCGAGCATCTTTATGTTAATGCAACTCGCTTTCACTCACCATTTCATGATATCAACAATATAGTAAATAAATAAATAAAATGGCAAGGGCTATAATGAAATATAAAATATATTTAGAAAATTGGAAGAAACAACGAATGTCTTCACAGTTTTGTCCTCCAACGCATCAGGAACCCAAGTCTTTACAACTGAATTAACTTTTTATTTATTTATTTATTTTTATGATTTTGCTGCAACTCTGCAATTTTTAAACGATTTTGCATATTCAGAGGTGCTAGAGAATAAAAATGTGAAGATATTCATTGTTTCTTCCAATTTTATGAATATATTTTATCAATAATATAATATCAACTAAATATATTTCATAAGTTAATATACCCTTTCAGTACAAAATAGTTTATTCATTTATATAAAGTGTAACCCGCGATTATTATTGTGATATTTTGTTTGGCTGTCGAAAATTTTAAAGTACATTCAATACAGGATCATTTAATAAAACATTTTATTAAATTTCAACCCACGAAAGATCAAAACATCTTCAGATCAAACAGTTAAAAACGGTTTTTCTTTATATCCAATTTAAGATTAAATTCGCAATAACATTACTTTAAAACCGACGAGTTTAAAACCATGAAAACCAATAAATTTAAAATATAAATGATTTTCTTCAATAAAATTCAATTTTTATGTTATATTCTGAAATCTTCTATTATTAAATTTATAACATTATTCTTTATTTATTTTTTTTTTTATAATAAATTTTTAACTTGAATAATCTTTATGATACTCCTTTAAAATAATAAATATTTTAAAGGATTATATTTTGTTAAATTTGTATAAAAACTAGCATATGGGTCCGTTGAATTTCAACAGATTTCTTTTAAATAAGAAAGGGAGTCGATGACCCCTGCACGTTTTCCCCCTTTGCTGAACAATATCTGCAATTTGATAATGATATTGTACGCTGTTCTTCTCGGATTATGCGCCTGTATTTTAAATTACATCATTAATGAAATACCCAACACATGCCTGTGTTATTTTATCAAATAGTTCTATTTGATTCCCTAAAGAGCCTCACAAATTCCATTGTTTTACTTCCGTAAACACTTCTTGAACGTTGGTGGATCTCTCGTATGGTAGTATTTATATAATAAATTGTTTAGGGGAGTAATACAATGAAGTTTATTATATATTTTCTTTTAAAAAAGTACAATACTTGCATATATTTAATGTAAATTTGCGTAGAAAATATTCACCTTTATCACTTAGAAAATATTTAATAAAATGCGAATGCGTGTAAAAAATTAATGGATTTACATGATAAGAAATTTTTCCAATTTAAAAACTACTGTATTTTAACACATTATTGATTTTATATATATATATCTTTATGGTGTTGTGAGTAGAGAGTGTGGATTTAATTTCATCCCTCTCGGAGTCTAAAAATACAAAAAATATGTATGATTTATACAGGACCTAAATCAGGAAATTTTTAAGAAATATGGAAGAAAAATCTATAAAATATCAAAAATAACTTCGTACTACGCGATATATATCTTTTCTAATAAAGCTATATCTTTATAACAATTAATTATTTGTACTATTTAGTTTGTAATATTGTTACTAGATGGCGACACGATTGTTTGAATCTAAAAATACTGTATTCTATTTAACATNTTGTACAAAATAAAAAAATAATTTTTAACGATACAATAGTCTTCGTTAGGCTTAACATCGACGAAAATTCAACGCGAAGCGACACGCAACGGAGAAAAATTTCAACATGGGATAAATTAATATATTTTTTCGTACATAATTCGTTATCCGAAAAATAAGTTATCCGAACCACCCCAGTCCCCAATTGATTCGGATAAACGACGCTCTACTGTATATGTATACAGGATGATTAAAAAATCTTCATATAAAAGAGAGCACCTGAATGAACAAAATTATATTTAATAGAAAGATATGTTGCATATCTATTGCCTTTAATATATTTGAATCTGTTACTTATAAATCTAAGTGACTAATTCAAATGTATTAAAGAGAGATGATTTTTATGTATTGAGTACTTTCCTAATGCCTATATCCATAACATGTAATAATAAATTCTAATAATAACTAATTTAGATAATACTGAAATCAAGAAATAAGAGAGCTCCAGAAATTTACAGTAAATACCAAATGTACACTAGATATTTAAGGAATCAGAAAGTGTTTTAATTTTAGAAAGATTAACGTTTTCGGAACAGTTTTACCATTAGAACTACTAGAAAAAATTTTCTTCTGAACTCAACATCCTATGTCGAATATATTTCTTTCAAGTATAAGAAATGTAAATTTGAAAAGTACTTTCAAATTATTTATTACGTAATTTACTAGATTAATTAACATAGATTACTTAAAAACAAAAGAAAAAAGTAATATAAACTAAAAAAGAACGATAGGAATTTCATCTATATGAAACGTATTTTCGTCAGGGTTACTGCACTCCGCTCTTGTCAGTGCCATGTCCATGGATCAAGGTCATCTTTTTGGTATTGATCATTCTATCCTTTCTTTATGACTATTACTAACTCTTCTACTGTTCTTAATGGTACCATTTTCTAATCGGGTATGAATATCTGCGATATGGTAGTTTTATCCTAGTTCTTGCAAGTTGTACCAGGACCATTGCAGTAGAACTAGTATTTGAACTAGTATTGTACAGAACTAGTATTTTTTCAATGTTTTTCTAATCAATTGTTCGGTCTGTAGGTAGTACCTATTAGCATTTTCGTTCTCCTCCTTATTTGTTATTTAAGAGGATCTGGTATACTCCTATTAGATATGAAGAATAAAAACTACTTCTGTTTGAAGTAGCTTTTCTTCATACCTAATGCACTATATGCACTATTTGTTATGTTCTTCCTTAATAATTACGTTTCTAATGTCCTGTGAAAAGTTCTTTACTTTTCTGTTTGTTGTTAGTATGTGTCATACTATACATTGAGCACAAAAAATTTTTGTAAAACTCTTTGCCTACCTATGGAGATTTTTTAAATCATCCTGTATTATATGTTTAAAATGCCTCCACCCAAAAACAAACTAAGGTTTAATTAAAGTTTTCAGTTAATACCACATCATTTAATTTTAATGAAATTAATGCTGTAAAAATTCGAAAATTTCATGTCAATATTTCTTACATTTCGATAACGATTGATGTTGAACTTATTCCGACATCATCGCAAATCCGGGCTGCAGTTTTTAATCATATTTTAAATTTATTCAATTTAAAATATATACTGTCCGTCTAAAATTAGTAGTGTATTGCCCCTGTACATCATACATTTCCTGATAACAACAGAGTCATTCCGATCATCTATCTAACTCCGTTCTGGAGAAAATTTTTGAATTGAAATAACGTGACTTTTGGTCCAAACCGGAAGTTTAAATGTAGTTATTCGAGACCTCCTTTCCCTTAGCTTTCCATATCCGGTCTCATCTTTCATCTATCTGATTCCGTTCTTGAGATTAAGGAAGGACGGACAGACCACAGATGGATGCTAGTGGGAATTTATATGTATGAAATTTGAAAATTGCATTTCAGTTAAATTGTTATAATTTTTGTATCTGTTTCGATGAAACTATGAGAGATAAATTGAAAGTTTATCTTCAATTTTTAAACTAAAAATTTGCATAAATTACACGATAGAGAATAATTTTATATATAAACAAAATATAAAACACACAAGAACTTTTACTATATATTTTCAATACGAGCTTAAAATAAATATAAAATTATATTACTGTATTATGGTTAAATAATTAAAATCATTAAAATTATACACGTATTAAACTTATATTTATTTTTACATTTTAATTTTTATTAGAAAACGTCCTTGCTTCATAAATTTACCTGGATCAGATTGTGACAACATGGATATTGCTGGATTGGCTAAAGATCAAGGACATTGGGCTGGTGCCTTGAGTCCTGGAAAGAAGAGAAGGTTTGTATGTTTTTACCCCTCTTTCCTCTCCTCTTGACCACTGAAAAGTCTTTTTATTCATACCTGTCATGAGTTCCTCCTGCTACCATCCCTGCCATCCTCATTGCATAAAGAGCAGAAGTGGCGAAGAACGATAACCCAACATACTCAAATCAAATAAACTTGAACCTGTGTTTCTCCAGAACGACTAGCTCATACTTTATGCCGCCCTTCATGATCATAATTAATAATAAATAAATATAGCTAGATAGATAAAGAAAATAATAAATTTATTCATCCATATTTCGGTATTCATTTATTATTTTAATGATGATAATGACTTATTTTAATAAGGACAAAATTATATAGAGGATGGTATGACATAATTAATATATCTTGTGATTACATACAGAATGTTTATGGAAAAGTGTTGGAGATTGTTTTCTCGTCAAACACGTATAGCAAGCAGATCGACTGTTTTCTGAAATAACAATATAAATTCCTGCAAATATTATTGTGTAAAACCATCAATTATTACTTTTCATAATATACATGAGGCAAAATAATTGATGAATTTTCGAATATTATTTAACCAGTAACATGGTCTTGATTACTTATGATACTTGTTATCAGCTGAGTAACTGGAAGCACGGTAATTTTAATAGAAATTAAGGTATTTCTTTCAATTTTTACTCACTCGTCTCCTGTTACAGCAAGATAATAAATCCCGGCGTTATATACGTTTTAAAAATAAACCCCTCGAAATTTAATCCAGAAAATATGATATTTTGTTAGCTATAAAATTACCTATAATATTTACGAGAAAACAAACAGATTGCTTTCCACGGACATTTTGTAAATCGATTATTTGTTTAAATGTTCTAACAGGAAACGTCCTTGTTCTTTTAACTTACCTGGAACGAGTTGCGATAATTCTGAAATGATTGGCACAGGTAAAGATACTGGGCACTGGGCGAGTGAAATTAGTCCGGGAAGGAAAAGAAGGTAATATAATCAAAATAATAGCTTTACGTTATGAAATAATAAATTGCTCTTTAGAATAGTATAAAAGTTATTTGTATTTAACAATTAAAGTAAGGGGTAATGGTCCAGTTTGCTCTCGTCTCCACATTGTTGAGGTTGATAATAAATACACTAGGCTCTTACTTTACGAGTGGACCACATCTGTTAAAAGGTTAATTAATCCAAATTTAATTATATAATTCATTCTAACAAACAATGTTATTAAGAAATTAAAATTGAAATCGAATAATTTCATATATTGATAGATAGAAGAATTTCAAGTCTATATTTTATTTTTTTATAAAGTAAATATTTATATTGTCTTTCTATATACATGTTTATATATATTTCTACTGATTACTCATACTGTATTTATGCCAAATTCTATGACTAACCGAATTTTATATTAAATGTAGTTCTCATCAATTTAAAAGCAACACATTGATTTTTATGAAGTATCTACGCGTAAAAATTTATCTTAATAATAATAATAATAATAATATACATATTTACTAGAAAACACAATAAGTTATTCAAATTATTTATTTTTTTTTATATTGTTTAAATATTTTTCCAGTATTATACTATCAAAAATTTAGTTATATTCAGTTATCTCTCGACTTAAGAGACAACTTAATAATAAATTCAAATTAAAAGGTTAGAATCTAAACACAGTATTTCTGTTTTAGAGTACGATGGCCCAAAAGTCAGGAACATATTTTTTCATTTTTTCATGAATTTTGTTTAAGAAAAGGTTTATGGTTCATTCCAAGTTGAAATTCGAATGCAAAAAAAACGCGGTTAACTGACTTTTGCGCCACCTTGTACTTATTATTTCTATTTGTAGAGTAGACGAGAATTATGTTTCATTAAACTCATTTACAGTGAATCATTTGGAATATTTAAAAGTTATTAATTAATATTTCATTTTCTTTTCAGCATTAAGAAATTGAGAGATTTACTACATGATTAATACTTAACAAAGCTATATAGAGCCCAAGAACTTCTCTCCTCGTATTTCTGGCTCATCAAATTATCATTAACCATTTACAAATTACAAAATTCAAATTAATATATGATAATTAATTAAATGTTTTAAGTTATTTCTTTCAATAATTAATAATCAAAACAATTCAAATTAATAATTTTCATCTCTCTTTTTAAATGTATAAAATATTAAATAAAAAGAAAATGAAAGTAAAAATGTAATAAATGTATTTGAATAATTATATTTTGGATTAAACATTATCTCTTCTAATTAACTGTATGTTGATTGTTTGAATAAAATTATTTGATTGAATACAATGAACAATTTTTTAATATAAATAAATCAATTGTTAGAAGGGTTTTCCATATCTTTTTAATTAGAATTAATATAGCATGCAACAAATCAACTAATGCAATTATTCTTTAAATCCATTTAAGAGTGAGTAATGACATTATTTTATTGATTATTCCATAATGAAATAAAAAGTGAGTCAATGTATGATACAAAAAGGAAATATCATCTGAACTAAAATCTAATAATAAGAATGGAATTTTAATAATACTAAATTTTTACATGCATTTGAATGTAATTAAATTAGAAAATTAAATTTATTTAGGAAACAAATAATTCTACTTAAAAGTATAATTCAATATAGACTTTGAATAGTCTTAGTTCAACAGTGTATTGAACTTATTTGTAAAATTTCATTTTTAATTTTGCATATTAATCATCTAATATAATCTTATTACATCTTAAATTGTATTCTCATAAAGAGATCAGATCATTCAAAATGTATATTTATATATATACATTGATACAACAATTATATATTGTACAGCAATTATTATATAACAATTGTATATACATTATATACAAAAATTATATATATAATTTTTTTAAATTTTTTATTCTATAGTTCACCAGAGATTATAAAACATGAGTTTATACATTAATAAAACAGGTAATACATATTCTTTTAGTAAAAATTATTATTTAACTTTGCAAACTTTCATTTGTTTTGTATTAATCTACATATTTTTTTCAAATAAAATAAAAATACGTTACATAATAAAATAAATTAAATCTACATCTTATATAATAAATTTTTTCTCCCAATTAGAAATGAAATTAAATCCCCATAATTCACTATAACACTTAATAACTCTATTTTTACACAGAACTCAACTGTTTTTTCACTTTTTGTAAAAATAATTTCTATTTTCTTTTTAAAAATTTACATATTTCTTACCTTTATTCTAATTACATCACTATTTTTATTATACACTAATCTGTATATATTCTAATAATTACCTAACTACTAATTGAATTAATAAAAACTCTGTAGCTAATTAAATAAATTTAATATTTTTATAATTATTTCTTAAATATTTTTATTTATATTATTATAATCACTTTCATTACAAAGTAACCCTTTAAATTAAAAAAGCAACGGGTTGCTGAACTTTCCTGGCAACATTAAAATTTTGGTGGCACCACCTGTCATCATATTTTATTGAAAACACTTTTTATATTTTAGACTATCATAAAACAGCAAAAAGCTTACTTTTCGGGTAGGGATGAGTTTTATAAAAAATTGTAAATGATGATAACGAGTAAACTCTTCATTAAGTCCGACCCTACTGAAGGTACACACGACCCCTATTATCTTCCCATCCCCTCAACTTTTAACCACCAAAATTTAACAGTATCAATTTCCCTAATACACAAACCTCCCTGCAAAATTTCAGAAATTTTAGACAAAAAGCACATGAGTTATTAACCTTCAAACAAAGTGAACAAATTCTTGCATCACACACACAATTTATTTATATTATTTAATTATTAAAACTTTAGTAACGTGAATTCCACGTTAATTCTATATATAAATTTATTTTTAATTTACAAATAGTATATTTAATTTCAATGTTTTAGGTATATAATAATAATAATATAATAATAAAACTATTTTTTTAATCTTAATTAAAATTCGGTCAATTTATTCCAGTTTTATTTATTTATTTATTACTTTCTAAATATAATCTATAGGTTTTCGAAACTTTTCCGTCTTCCTACGATCAGTTTTTATTCGTTATATCACATTTCCAAGTGAAATGGATAAAAGAAATTTCGTGAACATGATACCAAACAATTAATGAAAAGATGCGGGTCATCAAATTTCATATTTCTTTTGTAATTTATCTTTATATTTTGTATAAAGACATATTTAAAAAATAAATTGAATTGTTTAATATTTATTTAATGAAATTACTAAAATAAATAATTATTTATTATAAATTAAATTATTTAATATGAAAAGATAGAAAAATATTTAAAAGTTTTTGATTACCTATTAATTAAATTAATTCTAATACAAGTATATGTTAATCTTAAACGGACAGACATAGGTGACAGTGTAAAGCTATAAGACTGCAATTTGAAAATTGCAGTCCAAAAGAAGAAATTTGATATTGAAAAAATAGAAAAAGCAGGTGTTTATTCACTCCCGTGCAATTGTGAAGATTAAAACATTTTGTGAGACTGGTGTAGCATTAAAACATATGGTTAGATACATAATGAAAATACCCCTTGGTCAGGTGATCAACATGTTAACAAGTGACAATTTTCCAGTGCTCAGCGGTTTTATCCGTTTGTCCATTGATGGACTTAAGGAACATAAGGCCAACCTGAAATATACTAGACATTTTGCATATTTCGAAGATCTTAATGATAGATACCAACCAATGCTGATAGAATTCGACAATGCTTGGTATCTAGCTTTATAGTATATCGGGTTTAGCGATGTTGTTTGACCTTAATGATTGCAACATTAATGATGACGGCATTAAAACTTTACATTATAAATGCGATATTTATAAAGAAAATTTAAAGAACACGTTTCTGTATCGTTTATTCCATAATTATATTCAAAAATACAAGTTAAACGGAGTAAAAATGTTAATATCCAATTACAAAAAGGAATCAAACCATCTCTTCGCACGTAGGAATCAAACACGTGACACATCTGACGTTACATCGAAGAATCCAACTTAATATCCCGCTTTCTACGTTTCACGATTTAGTCACTAGTCAGGATCTAATACATATGTATAAAAATTAATCAGGCTTAGGATATATTATAATTCCATTTTTATGAAGATGCAATTCCGAGCATCTTTATGTTAATGCAACTCGCTTTCACTCACCATTTCATGATATCAACAATATAGTAAATAAATAAATAAAATGGCAAGGGCTATAATGAAATATAAAATATATTTAGAAAATTGGAAGAAACAACGAATGTCTTCACAGTTTTGTCCTCCAACGCATCAGGAACCCAAGTCTTTACAACTGAATTAACTTTTTATTTATTTATTTATTTTTATGATTTTGCTGCAACTCTGCAATTTTTAAACGATTTTGCATATTCAGAGGTGCTAGAGAATAAAAATGTGAAGATATTCATTGTTTCTTCCAATTTTATGAATATATTTTATCAATAATATAATATCAACTAAATATATTTCATAAGTTAATATACCCTTTCAGTACAAAATAGTTTATTCATTTATATAAAGTGTAACCCGCGATTATTATTGTGATATTTTGTTTGGCTGTCGAAAATTTTAAAGTACATTCAATACAGGATCATTTAATAAAACATTTTATTAAATTTCAACCCACGAAAGATCAAAACATCTTCAGATCAAACAGTTAAAAACGGTTTTTCTTTATATCCAATTTAAGATTAAATTCGCAATAACATTACTTTAAAACCGACGAGTTTAAAACCATGAAAACCAATAAATTTAAAATATAAATGATTTTCTTCAATAAAATTCAATTTTTATGTTATATTCTGAAATCTTCTATTATTAAATTTATAACATTATTCTTTATTTATTTTTTTTTTTATAATAAATTTTTAACTTGAATAATCTTTATGATACTCCTTTAAAATAATAAATATTTTAAAGGATTATATTTTGTTAAATTTGTATAAAAACTAGCATATGGGTCCGTTGAATTTCAACAGATTTCTTTTAAATAAGAAAGGGAGTCGATGACCCCTGCACGTTTTCCCCCTTTGCTGAACAATATCTGCAATTTGATAATGATATTGTACGCTGTTCTTCTCGGATTATGCGCCTGTATTTTAAATTACATCATTAATGAAATACCCAACACATGCCTGTGTTATTTTATCAAATAGTTCTATTTGATTCCCTAAAGAGCCTCACAAATTCCATTGTTTTACTTCCGTAAACACTTCTTGAACGTTGGTGGATCTCTCGTATGGTAGTATTTATATAATAAATTGTTTAGGGGAGTAATACAATGAAGTTTATTATATATTTTCTTTTAAAAAAGTACAATACTTGCATATATTTAATGTAAATTTGCGTAGAAAATATTCACCTTTATCACTTAGAAAATATTTAATAAAATGCGAATGCGTGTAAAAAATTAATGGATTTACATGATAAGAAATTTTTCCAATTTAAAAACTACTGTATTTTAACACATTATTGATTTTATATATATATATCTTTATGGTGTTGTGAGTAGAGAGTGTGGATTTAATTTCATCCCTCTCGGAGTCTAAAAATACAAAAAATATGTATGATTTATACAGGACCTAAATCAGGAAATTTTTAAGAAATATGGAAGAAAAATCTATAAAATATCAAAAATAACTTCGTACTACGCGATATATATCTTTTCTAATAAAGCTATATCTTTATAACAATTAATTATTTGTACTATTTAGTTTGTAATATTGTTACTAGATGGCGACACGATTGTTTGAATCTAAAAATACTGTATTCTATTTAACATTTATTAATAAAAACAAATATGTTACGATATTAAAATTAAATAATTATTTCTTAATATTAAAAAATATATATTTGATACAATTTTAAATACAGATTTTCATTATAATTAAAGTACTTTTATTCAATCTTGTCTTTTGGGTTATGTAGTGATCAAAATGCTACTAAACTTTCCATTGTGACGTTGCCTGACATACCGAAGAGATTTCGACTGACTTGTGAGATAATTTTCATCACTAGAGAAGTTGTGGCGTTTCGAGCACAAAAACACGTGAAAGTTTGTATAAGTTGCACGAGGAA